TAATAAGCACTGTAAACAGCTGAGCCATTGTTCATTCACAGAATCTTTTTATTATTATTTTTATTTTAGTTCATTTTTTTTATATTGTTTCACAGCACTGTGCTGAACTATGTGTGTAAGACTATGTATGCATGTGTATATGTATGGAGTGAGCACTCCTGGTTTCTGCAATGAGTAACTGGTTATTTTCTACAGCAAGTTACTTATTGTTTGTTGCAATAAGACCTTAAAACAAAAGTCTTTTATGAGAATTCTGTTAACAATTCAATAACCACAAATCTGGTCTTGTATGAAAAGGATCAGTCAGGAAAATGACTCATTGGAACTGACTGAATTTTCCTTAAAAGGCTTTTGGATATTTCAAATTTGCAGCGGCTACAAACAATGTGTAAATTCCACGCAATATCTTCACCAAAATAATAACAGAATTTGAAAAAAAAAAGCAAAAGTGCTTACAAAGAATGGCAATAACTCTATGAATGCAACGATACTGTAACCTAGAAGAGACAGAGGGAGAGTTGCGTACGCTCCAATGCTGGCTATGCAAGCAAGTCCTGAACCTTAACAAGAGAATTACAACATTTGAAATGATTTCATTCATAGCATCTCCGTGTCATTCTGTAACATCTCACAGGAATGAATCTTGTTTCTACTGTGGAATTGTAGGGATGTTTCTGTTTTAGGGACCTCCAAGGGTTCTCTTTAAATTTGCACATGTGCCACTGGTTGTGGATATCAGATGCTGTCCAGTGAATGTTTTGCTCCAAGGACCCACCCGAGTGTCTAAGGGGAGGAAAAGGCCCCCGACTGCAGCAATGGCACATGCGTATTTTGATTTAAAGAGTAACAGGACTATATGTATATATAAATATGTATGTATGTAACCCAAAGCAGAACAGGAATTGCTCGCTTCACTGCAAGTGTACAGAAAGACTGGAGCTTTAAAAAGATTTCAGAATAAAGGTTACTGCTGAACACACACATTGCAAGGAGTGGAGTTTTTGTGTCATGATGTGTTTTTTTCTTTTTCATTCTATAGGTCATTTTTTCCTCTAAGTATCTGTTGTTCTGTCAGACTGTTGCACACTGGTTTGCTTAATAAGGTAACACTGGAAAAAAGGGCCAAAGAAATGGCATAAATTGAAAAGACATTTTAGATCAAAGCCACAGACATTTTTTGTGAGTTGACCTTTTGTCTTTATCTGCTTCATTTAACTGATTTCCATTCAGTTTTATGTCCATCAAACTCCTTTTTAATGTATACATGTTTGCTGCAGCACCATGCAGACATGTTTGCAAGCATATGAATGTGTTCATATGTGTATATTTTTATGAGGCATCCCAAAACTACTCGTTTGCTTAATAAGGTAACACTGGAAAAAAGGGCCAAAGAAATGGCATAAATTGAAAAGACATTTTAGATCAAAGCCACAGACATTTTTTGTGAGTTGACCTTTTGTCTTTATCTGCTTCATTTAACTGATTTCCATTCAGTTTTATGTCCATCAAACTCCTTTTAATGTATACATGTTTGCTGCAGCACCATGCAGACATGTTTGCAAGCATATGAATGTGTTCATATGTGTATATTTTTATGAGGCATCCCAAAACTACTTCATTTAGAAATACACTCACATTCTGAATGTATCTTGCTTTAATCAAACCAGTAATAATGAAACGCCAATGAAACGGTGACAGCACAGTGAAGCTATTGCTTCTCTCTCTCTCTCTCTCTCTCTCTCTCTCTCTCTCTCTCTCTCTCTCTCTACAACTGTAAGCAGGTGAAGGGCAGTGTGAGAAAGAGAGGGAGGGGAATGACAGGAAGACACAGCAGGTGAGGAAACAATGAGATGAAATGATCAGAACAGAAAACAGACTGGCAGAAGACACAGAAAAAGAGTTTGAAAGCATTTGATGACATTTGGATTTCGACTAATTGTGAGGTACCGACTATTTTCACTTATATTGCAGTTATTGTTAGGTTCTTTTTTTTCACTTGCTTCATTTTTCAAAAATGTAGGTCTTTCTTCTAAGATTTTGACTAGACTTTAAAATGACTTAAAGTAAAATAATCAAAACGAGTCAGTCACATGCTTATTTGCTATTTCATCAGATCCAGAAATCTACTTCCCCATTTTTATTTTTATTTTTTTGCAAACTCAGCTGTTGAATAATGCAATATATTATTTTAATAGTCATGAACATGTGAACATCGAAGTGAAACTTTAATCTGTGCTAAATCACACTTCTTTATTCGAAAGTTTGTTTGTTCATATGTTCTCCAGTGACTGATGGAGAGTGTGTGATATGTTGTCTGTGTGGATCACTTCGTGTCTGATAAAGTTGTATCGTTTACAGATGCTTGTGACAGTGATATCTGTAGCCATGGTGATGCTGACAGGTCACCTGATATATGGGCTCCCCATGGTAAATTATGCTATAATATGTACGGTATATATTGTTAACAAGACGCTTTGATGTGAAGACTTGTAGTATGCTGCATGCTCTGTGTTCACATTAATCAGTTGATCTGAATTGTGAACCGAATTAGCACAGAACCGTACTTCAGTGTGCATTTAAAAGACACTGTGTCACTCTAATGGATGCATCCAATACAAATTATCTTGTGTGTTGTTGTTTGTTTTGAGCAGGACGGAAAAATGAGAAATTCCAGAGCCCTTTCAGAAGAGCTGTGTGATGCAGGTGAGAAAGCATTTCGGGGCGATGTTTCTCAAAGTCTCTTGTATCTAGCATCACTTTCTCTGAATTCTTTCCCTGTTTTTGCGGAGTGCGTGAGCGTACCTTTCTGTCACAACACTTCCCAGTATTACATATGTGGTCTGAGCAAGAAATTGCCCGGGACATCAATGGTTTATTAGGTTTTTCTTAATCGTTCTTTCTTCTTCCTTTCCCTCTCTTTCTTTCTCTCTCGTGATGGGAAATGGTATGTTCTGACACAGAAGCATAAACCACTTCCTTCATTAGAATGCCACTGCCTGTTTGAGCTACTTTGTAACGTCCTGTTTTTGATGCTATTTCTCATCTCTCCCCTTAAGAGACCTCAGTCAGCAAGTCTGAGTCTGTGCATAAAAGTGTGTGTGCACGTACGTGAGTGTGTCTGTGTGCGAGCACCCACATCCGCCTTTAAAAATTCAGTTTGTGCCCTTTGAGCTGAACGTCTTTGCACAGTCAAATACAAATTTAGTTATTACAACTTTAAATATGTTAGATAGTCATTTTAGTATCTATGCTGTACAATAGGTTATTTATATTTCGCGACGTCACTATCTTCACCCTCTTCAAGGCAAGTAAAGCCTCGCCGTGGTGCAATCCATAATTTCCAAAAGCTCATCATACGCAGGGCAGGAAGACAAACGAGAGCAGAGCTTCTTTTTCTTGGGATTGCCCCCTCGGAGACATCGCGTGCGTGCTCTTTGCCCAAACAAACAACACATAGATCGTGTGTGTCATCAGATGTTAAACAACGTCAACACGGATGCACACATCCTTAAATGCTTTGCTAGTGCTCACCATAATGAGATAAATAGAGATCGCTCTTACCACAGAAATGCACGCTTCAAACAAAACAGTCAATGAAGACGAAGAAGAGAATGATGTGTAGCTCCCGGTGCCTATTTATACTATAGTCGCACCGGTAGTGACGTCATGGCTGTCGCCGGCCAACGAGTTGGTGTTTTTTCAATGTATGCTTCAGACACGGGTCACGACGAGGCGTTCCCCATAGCGACCCCTAGAGGACGCAGTTCGAAGTTCCCATGAAAGGGAACCAAAGCTTTGTACATGCATGTTAAAAATGGCTGCACCTACTTTTACGTTAAAAATAAAGTGTACATGTAATAAAAGCACATCTCACCAAACCACACTAACAGGTGGCAGTAATTCACACAAATGGTCTCAAGTTTTTCAAATTCCAGGTATACAGTGCATGATTTTTGGCCCAAAATCTGAGGCAAATCGGTGCTTGTTCATAGCGTGAATTATCAAAAACGCGATCTGAGATAAGTGCCGATGCCTAAGAACTATTTAGCAGGCCAAATATATGGACCTGTCTGGGACTCAGAGGGTGCTTCTCATTTCTTATTTCTTCATCCCCGTTTACTTTCATAATTTCCTTTCCTTGCATCTTAGCTCCACTCCCTTAGGATGTGAGGGAAGGATACACCTGTGTATCCTCACTCATAACTCCTCGGGAAGCTTCCTCACTCCTTGTTCCTCGCGTTGCAATTAGTGAATCTGGATGTCCTTCAAGATGGCTGAGTTCAATCGGTTTCCGGGTCACCTACAGACAATGAGAGAACAAGATACAGGGCAAGGGAAATCAGGGGGAGGAGTCGTAGTCTTGCGTCATTCCCTGTATGACTTTTAGTACCACATATTATCTAATATTACCAAAATACGTTTGTATATCTTTGTTTTAACCAAATCATCCTTGTTGCTTAAAGGGGCCCTATTATGTTTTTTCACTTTTTCAACTTTAGTTAGTGTGTGATGTTGCTGTTTGAGAATAAAAAAAGATTTGCAAAGTTTTTTTATTTTTTTTTATTATTGCTCTGCATGACATCATATAGGGTGGATTTCCTTGTATGGGCGCTTCTCCCGGAAGAGTGCGAAAATCAACATTGTCACCAAAGAAGTGTTTTTTGGTTGTGAGGGAAAGATAACCTTGTTCAGCTTTCCAAAGAACCCAATGTTAAAGGGGTCATATGATGCGGACGTAACATTTCCGTCACACGCTTGAGGAATTCGACCAATCACAACGCATTGGATAGCTGGCCAATCAGAGCACACCTCGCTTTTTCAGACCGATGAGCTTTGTAAAAATCGACGCGTTTCAGAAAGGCAGGGCATAGAGGAGAAACAATAATGTACAGTATGTGGAAAATAATGTGTTTTTTGATCCTTAAACCGCATAAACACATTTTATTACACCAAATACACAAAATAATGTTCTTTTTAGCAGCATCATATGACCCCTTTAAGGAAACTATTTATGTCGATGTCACAGCTTGCAGATGATCACTATACAAAAGCTTTGCATGCTTGTGGCTCTTTAGCTCCGCCCACTGCACGCCTCCAGGAGCTCGACTGTTTTCAGAGGGAAGTGTAAAGCTGTATCTGTATTTCATAAATCTGATCAGACTAAATACTTTTTCGGAGATACGAAGGATGCAATACTACTCTATAGGTACTCGAGGTTAACATGAGATTGGCAGAAACTGTGTGTGTTATGTCCCCTTTAACAGAAAACACTTTTCAAGAACTACAACAAATGTCATACAATAAAACCTGACAGAAGTATTTTGAGCTCGTGTTAACCACAAACCTTATTTCAGGAATCAACAACCCATTCGAGTGCTGCACAAATCAGTCAAAAAAGGCACTTCAGTCTTGATATTTAATTGCGGACATTCATTTTTTGTTTCTACATAACTCTTGCTATTACCAGATATAACCTTTTTAGAGCACCGTTTCTTAAAGAGCGCTTTTCAATATAGCAAATTCCTATAGGACATTCATCTCATCTATTCAACTCTTCATCTCAACATGAATAGTTATGCTACCTTACA